CAACAACACCCAACAAGATCAAGTTCAGAAAGTCTTTTATCTTTAAGAAAAAAAAGTTTCCTTTCTTTGCCCCACATTTCTGTGGCAAGGGCTTAGAGTGATTGTTACCACACTACTTCCTGCCTCTGTCCTGCAAATAGAGTCCTTGAGCTGACTAGTATCCGAAAAAGAACAGAAGAGGTAGAGAGGAAACAAGGTAAGATGCCAGGTGTAGGAATATGCTTCTAAGAGGTTTTTGTTGTTGTTGTTGAGAATATATACACAGCAAAGCATACACCAATTTGTACGTATACCATTAGTGACACTGACTATATTCTTGAGTTGTACAACCATTCTCACCCTCCTTTTCTGAGTTGTTCTTCCCCCAGTGACATAAATTCACTGCCCCCTTAGTTTCTTATTTAATCTTTCAAGTTGCTTTTGCCAATTTGACCCCATAGAGATAGTTCTTAAAACAGCATAATGCTTACTAGTTAAGCTAAACTATCATTCAGTTTTAAGACTTCAGGGGATATCTTTGGTTTATGGTTTAAAAATTATCTTAGGGCAAAAGACCTCGTTAAAGTGCTGAAGAGCAAAGATGTCTCTTTGAAGCCTAAGGTGCAGCTAACCCAAGCCATACTGTTTTCAATTGCCTCATATGGATGTGAAAGCTGGACAATGAATAATTAAGACTGAAGAGGAGGTGATGCTTTTGAGTGGTGGTGTTGGCAAAGAATACTGAAAGTCCCATGAACTGCCAGAACAAATCTGTCCTGAAAGCAGTGCAGCTGGAATGCTCCTTGGAAGCGAGAATGCCCAGACTTTGTCTCATCTACTTTGGTCATGTTGTCAGAAGGGACCATTCCCTGCAGAAGGATATCATGCTTGGTAAAGTGGAGGGTCAGCAAAAAGGGGAATGCCCTCAATGAGACAGACTGACCCAGTGGCTGCAAAATATGGGCTCAGGTATAGCAAGGATTATCACAATGGCACGGGACCAGGCAGTGTTTCGTTCTGTTGTGCATAGGATTACTGAGTTGAAGCCAACTCAACGGCACTTAATAACAACAGGTTCATCCAAACATCACGGCTCCAATAGTCTGGAGTTTGTGAGACTTTTAAATTTTATTCTGCATTCCCTCCCCCCCTTTTGATCAGGGTTCTCCTATAGAATCATTGATCAAAATATTCAGTAATAGTAGCTGGGTACCACCCAGTTCTGGTATTATGGCAAAGGAGGCAATTCTAAAAGGTTTTAAGGATCGGTCAATATGTAATACTGTTTTAATATGTTTATTACCTAATCAGTTAACAGAGTGATTGATTAGCTTTATACAGAATTACAATCAAACATCTTTGGAATCACAAGAGTAAGTGATCAAGATTTTTAAAGTTTCAGATAAGATTTTTTTTTTAATGATTATGGACATACATAAAACAAAACCAAACCCACTCCTGTCAAGTCAATTCCAACTCACAGCAATCTCCTATTGGGTTTCCAAGGTGGTAAATCTTTATGGAAGTAGATTGCCAGTCTTCCTTCCACAGAGTGGCTGATGGGTTTGAATCACCAACCTTCTGGTAGCAGTCAAATACCTTAGGCACTGCACCACCAGAGCTCCTTAAGGATACACACACACACACACACATATATATACACACACACACATATATTTTTAATTTTTTATTGTGAGTTGGGTGAAATTTTACAAAGCAGATTCATTTTACATTCAACAGTTCATATACACATTTTGTTTTGTAATACTGGTTACATTCCCCACAGTGTAACATCTCACTTCCCACTTCCTCCCTGTGGTTACCCTTTCCCTGTGTCTTTCTTGCCTATGCATTTCTGCCTCCCTACATTTTTCCGTGTGCAAATGCAGCCTTTCTAAGAAGTGTATCTCCCTGGTATAGGTGTTCACCTCGTAGGCTTGTCTATTGTTTGGCTGAGAGTTAAGCCATGGGAGGGAGATCAATTCCAGCCCCAAAGCGTGACTCGGAGCCATAGTTGCAGGGATTCCACCAGCCCCTTATCAGACCAGTTAGCCTGGTCTTTTTTTAAATGATTTTGAATTTTGTTCTACATTTTTCTCCCATTCTATACAGGCTCTCCAATTTTGATCCCTTTCAAAGTACCTGGCATTGGTAGCTGGGCACCATCTAGTTCTTCTGGTCTCTGGGTCATATAGGTTGAGGTTCTCATGGTCCATTAGTCCTTGGGACTATTTGCATGCATGTTTAATTTTCTTCACTCTTCTTTGTTCCAGACAAGGAGAGACCAATACTTGCCACTTAGATGACTGTTCACAACTTCTAAGACCCCATTCACTACTCATCAAAGTAAAATGTTGAACAGTATTTTTCTACACCATGTTGTACCAATTGAGCTTAATGTCCCCCATGACTATGGCCCAGCGACCTACTCCCTAAAGGTGCTTATTTCTGGCTAAGAAGTTATCCTAATTTTGTTTCCTGTTATATTTAAACTGCATATGGGCATTTTTATAGCACATATAAATACATACATAGGAATGTCATCTGCCAAACCCATGTATGGTGGTGGGTATATTCCCATTTCCCTATCCATACTTATCTACCTATGTGTCCACTCATAGATGAGTGTTTGCTCTTACTGATAATGCAGTATTGTGTCTCCAATATATTTACCTTTTTTGTCTGTATCTCTTGTGTACCTCTCCATGTCTTCCTTTTCCTTAGTGATACTGTACTAGTCACATGCTTTTGTCACACTGTTTTTCCCTTCACCCATATCAAAAGTGTCTCTCAATTTTCCATCTATCTTCCCTCTCTTTTCCACCCATCCCATCCCTGGTAACCAACAAAGAAAATTTCCTTCCTTGTGCAAACTTTTCCTTGACTTTTTATAATGGACTCTGCAGTGTAGTAAATTACTTTATGTGGCTTTTCTACCCATAAGTCTTTGTAAACTCCAAGTTGGGATTTGCTATGAGCAACTGAGGAGCTCCTGATTGCTGAAGGTGTCCACCTGGAGTATTTCTGTTGGGAGTGGCACAAAACACTGTTCTGGGAGGGTCCCAC